TGGTGGGAATGAGTGTGTTTGAGATGGCGAGGTCGGCACAGGAAAGAACGGCATTTAGGACTCTTGTACATAGGGTCACTATGAGTCACAAGCAACTCGATGGCACATAACAACAAGTGAATGGTCACGAGTGAGTGAGTAAATTCTGCTATATCAAATTCTAGTCCACAGAGTCAAATAAATTGTATCTAGATTACTTCCTTTGCTTAAGGAAAGTAGCTCACTGTCCTATGACGGTTCTTCTGGGTAGAGAGGTTAGAACTCTTAAACACAGTTGTTGGGAATGTAAAATGGTATAGCCACTGTGGAAGGCAGTTTAACATTTCCTCAAAAAACCTAAACACAGACATTACATATGGTCCAGCTATTCAACTGTGGGGAATATACCCTGAGGAAAATAGAACTGAGATACAGAGATTTGTACACAGATGTTCATAGTAGCATTATGCACAATAGCAGGAACACGGAAGCAGTCCAAATGTCCATCAACAAATTACTGGATTGAGAAATTGTGATTCAATCAATAACTGAATACTATGCAACACTCATGAGCAATGATCTATAAAAATACTGTATAAGATGGGGAGACTAGAGAGCATTATGTTGAGTGGACTAACTCAAGTTCATAAGGACAAATAATGCATAAGACCATTATTGTAAAAACAGAAGAATAACTAGTAAGACATGTATGAATATACATAAAGGGAAGGAGAGAGGCCTGGAGTAAAGAAAGGAGAATTCTAGAGTCTCAAAGTTTGGAAAATGGAGGGAGGAAGTGAAGGAATTGGGAAAGATCCAGTGGCCATCCAAAAAGATGAGGTGGGAGTGGGCATTTATCAATGGTAATTAATATTATAAGACACTGTGTATGGGAATGATCGTATTAAACACAATGCGAATGAAAAAAAATAGTGTAATATCCATGTACAACTGTGTTTATTCCATATTAGAAAAGCCAAGATTGAGGGGTTTTTTTGGAGTTAGAGTTATAAGAGCAAGCCAAAAGTACCAAACCCACTGCTATCAAGTCTGTCATGTCCACTCATGTTGACCCTCTATCATCAGACTTCTGAAGCTTTAAAACTTTATAGCAGGAGACTGCCTCCCTCTTGCAGACGGTGAATTCTAGCCTCCAAGGAGCAAGCCCAACAAGTAGCATATTGTGCCCCTAGGGCTCATTAGAACCACAATGACTCTCTTGGTGCATACAGACCTCTATATTATGTAGGAATGCTTTATGGGACTGCATTGAGAAGTGGAAAGTTTGGGAAATACCCAGCAAGAAGCTCCTGGGACCACAGACTTAGCTCCTTGTCCAAGCAAAAGGAAATTTGGGCTTCCCTTTATTTCTTCCACTGTGAAAAGGAGCTTGGTTTTTCTTGGAAGAGAAGTCAAAGACGGCAATATTTATCATAATTTGGAAGATGTGCATTATAATATGAAAAATTTTTTAAAACGTAAATGAAAACCATAAACAGCATAGCGTAAAAATAGAAAGTCTTTTTTTTTCAAAAATCAGAAAATGAACTTAAAAAATAAAAAACATTATAATTTGAAAGACAGAGTCCAAGCACATTCATTATTCTGACCTTTAATGAAGGCTTTTTGGTGATCTAGTGGGTATCTAGTCGGGCAGCCAACCCAAAGGCAAGTGGTCAAATCCACCACCAGCTGCTCCACAGCAAAATGATGGATAATCTCTTCCCATGACATTTACAGTCTCTGAAAGCTATGAGTCTGCTCTGACTAGGGATTTACACACAACAATCCTAAATGTGAATTTATCTATTTATTTTATATGAATAATCAA